GCGCGGGCTGCGGGTGTTGGCGCCGCGGGCGGGGCAAAGCCGCCCCCCCCCCTGCCGCACCGTGCAGCCGCTCTTCTTTGAGAGCATCTCCACGTCGGCCTGGGGGGCGGCAGGGACGTCACCGCCGTGCCGCGGTGCCCCGGCTCTGCCGTTCGCCCTCCCCCAGCCGCGTCGAGCCCCTTTTGGGGCCCCCCCTCCCCTCACCTGCTTGGGGTGTTTGGTGGTGGCAGCATAAAACTTCTCCAGCACGGCATTGGGGGTGGCTTTTAACCTGATCTTCTCCTTGACGTTCAGTAGCCCGGCCAGTGGGGTGGCCACATACCTGGGGAAGGAGCAGGGGGACATAAAATGTCCCCATCTCTGTGTCACCCGGCTGACGTGGCCCCATCAAAGCCACCCAGGCACACACGGCCACTCGGTGCCTCAGTTTCCCCATCCCGCTGCTGCTTCTCCAAGGTGGGGTTTACCACGGGGGAATCCCCCAGGTCCTTCTGCCAGGCCGGGGCTGGGGGCCCGGCCCCGTGAAGCGGCAGGGCCGTACCCACCCCGGCCAAGGCTCCCTTCTCCCGCCGTCCCAACAAAGCCCCGTCTGTTCCCGGCCTCGGCTCGCCATTGTTTGCCCAACAAATCGCTCCTTAACCGCCGGGGCCCGCGGCCGACCGTGCCGCGATAAGGGCGGCGGAGGATGCACAAAGCCGGGTTTGTGCGGGGCCGCCGGGGGCAGGTGCCGGGCCCTGAACGCGGGCTGGGGGGACCCAGCGCACCCCAGCAGCGGGACCCCGGGGAGCCGCAGCCCCCCGCAGCCGGGCTGAGCTCAGGGTGACGCATCCAGGGGCTCATCCCAGCGCCTCCGCAGCCCCGGGGGCGCAGGGAGAGCCGGATCAGGGCGTACCCCCACCCCAGGGAAGGGACTCACGTCTCAAAGAGGTGCCGGACGACGAGGAAGAGGAAGGCCAAGGGGAGGGTGATGTAGAGATCAGAGGCTTTGGCATAGACCCGCCCATCCCGGTCCTCCAGGTCGGCCCAGGTGACATTCTCCGGCAGCCAGAGCCGTTCCCACCAAAAATAGCTGTACAAGGTCTGGAACATGCTGGGGGGGAGGAAAGAGAGGGCGAGGTGAGGGGGCACCTGGCGCCCCGGGGAAGCGGGGAGGCCCCGCGGAGTTGGCGGCTCCGACCCCGGTCCCTGCTCGCGGCCGGTCACGTCTCCCGCTGGCCGGTGCCGCCGGCGCGCTCTGCGATGCCCCGGCTGGACCCGGCCCCCCCAGCCCCACCCCGGCTCCCCGCCCTTTTTTTTTCCCCAAGCCCCACCTCGGCTCCCGGCGAGCCCCCGGCCAAGCCACGTGTCGGGGAGGGTCCGCGGGCCGGCGAAATCCCCCCTGCGCCGCACAGAGCGGCCGGGCGCTCGGCTCTGGCAGAGAGGGACTTTGCTCCCTGCGGCGCAGGGCTCAGCGGGTGATGATTAACCGAGGCCGGCTCTCGCTTCCGACCAGCGGGACAGATCCTTGGCACCGGCCGGAGGGAGGAACCGGCTTCCCGGTCTCCGGGACTTCCCCAGCCTGGTTCCCCCGACGGCATCGCACGGCGTGGCATCAGCTGGGGACCGGCAGGACCCCGGGATCGCGGCGGGATGAAGAGGAGGGGGAAGTCCCCCCCGGGGGGGCAACCGGGGCCCCGGAGCCCACCGCCGCCCCTCGGCCGGGCGGCCGGACCCAGGCGGCCGCGCGGCGCAGGATTAGGGATTTGCCAGCGGCACAATGAGCACCTTTGTGCCTCAAAAAGGCGCCATGCGGCTCCCGACGGGCACACGGGGAGGGAGCGGGAGCCCAGCGCCGTCACCGTCGGGGCGCGGGGAGGCCACCCCTGGCGGGGGGTCAGGGCACCCCGGCTCTGCCTTCCCCTCCGCGCTGGCATCGGACGCGGGCCGCGTTTCGGCAGGGACGGGGGTCGGGGCCCCGGCCCCTGGGAGGCAAATCCCCGCCGCCGAGCAGGGATTTCGGCGAGGGACGGGGCGGCTTCGCTCCGGGCGGGGGGAAGAGGAACCGCAGGGGCCGGTTCCGGGAGGCGAGGCGGGAGCGCGCCGCGGGTCCCGCTTCACCGGGCCGGGAGGGCGACGCCGCGAACGGGAGGCGGGCAG